GATCAAGTTCCTACTCTGGACTACAACAGGCTGCTGTAACCGATGCAGGACCAAACACACTTTAGATAATTCAGATACCAGCTTCTCCAGATCAATAAGTGTTAAACAGGCTTTCATTATCCCTAAGCCGAAGTATAAGTACGAACGAAAGTCAAATGGAGACCCCACCTGCGCAAGGACCATTTGTAAAAACTGAAGAAAACTGTTCATTAGCAACTTTTCAAACTGCTCAAGATGAAACTCTGCTTAGTCCTTTAGGATGTCGGGCTTATCCAAAAACACAAGCGAGACTACCATCGAACCGGGGTAGAAAGACGGGGTAAAGCTGCATTCCAATTGATACACCTATTAAGATCGAAATTTAACAAGCATTGAAAAGAGAAAGGAAAAAGGAAGTGTCACAAAAAAGGAAGTGTCGTGTAAGAGAACAAAGATAACGGAAGTTCACTGATGACTCAGATAGTAATTTGAAAAACATATCGATTTCCTCGTCTGACGATGTAACATCTGACGACGAAGTTCCATTAAATTATCTCGTGAAACCGAAAAAGAACGACTTTGTTGTCGTTAAATTTGTCGGGAAACAAAAATAAGTAAAGGATTATGTTCGCAAATTACTTTTTTTATATAGGATAGGGTGACAAACGAGCGCACACGCTTTTCTCACAGTCCCGGGATTGTTAAAAAATCTGTTTCTCTTTCTTATAAAATCAAACAAACAAAAATAATTAGATTTAGTCACAATCAACACTTTCTGTCTTTCTTATTTTCGCAATAAGAGCGTAAAAATAAGAGAACGTTTAAGCTTTTATCGTTTAATGAGGAATCGTCTTTAAATTTTCAAAAACTGCTGAGATAGTGACCTCTTGATCCACCATTTTCAAAAAGAGCCAATTCAAATTTAATGGTAAACTTGAGACTGTCGTCTAAAACAGCACTATCTCCGTTCACCCCATAACTTTCTCTAGTTCTTTGTTCAGTTGCTATTCATTGGTCAAATCCTGTATTTCAATATTTTAGTGACGAACCCTTAGATCAATTATATACATGAACCGTAAAATAGTCAAATAAAAAAATTGCTTAAATTTACCCCATTGAACAAGAACCGGGTATCACAATTTTGGACCCGGTTCTTTTAGCTAACAAGGAACCGGGTATACCCGGTTTTTTTGGAACCGGGTAGAACCGGGTGCATGCTCTAGTCGGCACCAATGAAATTCTTAATTGAGATTTTAAGTGCTGATTTAGTACGTGCTTGGCGATTGAAAACCATCGTTGGGAAATTGCATATCAGACATGCAGAAATAAAAATAACATTTCAAAGACGTGATGTCCGCAAACATGCATTGGGGCAGTACGGAATCAGAAATGAGAGGTCTGGGCCCAGCATTGGGGACGTATATATGCTATAACTAAGTAGCTGTAGTGGCGGTGACCGTTCATTGGCAGTGTATCAATACGACTATCGTCGGACTTACGCTATACCAAGGTTCCCCATACGATAATAGCAAACGTACACACGCTTAGCTCTGTCTGAACCATATTATATCGATAATATTAATACCGGGCAGAACCACAAGATGCGTTAAATCAGGCGCAGGCGCAGTACACCCGCTTGGAGGACTATATAATTTTCTATCTGTCGTAAGAGGCGACGGAGGTAAACAAACTAGGAGATGTGCAGCAGCGTGTTCCTAGTTATAACCAAAAAAGTAAAAAAGGGGGCTTTTTCTGTTTTTTTTATTTGATTATTTCCATGCAATTATGATCTAAGTCCCATTCATATCTGCCGAATATTGTTGTCATATATGAACCAGGTAGTCCGGTAGGTGTTGGAAATATTGACTTTATGCAACGCTAAGAAGTTTCAGGGTCTTCAGAGGATCGCGGTATAACTATCTCATGCTATGCTAGATGTCAAAAATACCAGCGTGACAGAAAACAGCGCCCGTGCGCGGTCACGTCGTACGTGATAACGTCGAATATTCAATGAGACATACCGAGGTCAAGCAATGGAGTATTTATTACCCGCTAATGAAGACGACATACTCAATGGACGTATCCAACTCGACTGGACAGCGTTCGTGAGATCATCTCCTTGTCATCTATTCCCTAAAACTTAAAATCAAGAGTGTACAATCAGTGTGAGTTGCTAGTACTAACATATGAATCTGAGATAGATCCTTCACTGAAGCCATTTGATTAAGCTTAAATTCGCTAAGGTAGCTATGAAGAGGGCTATCCTCGAAATCTTTCTGCGTGATAGAAAACGTAATGGGCATATCCAAAGTAGTACCAAAGTAATAGACCTAACCCAAATGAACGACAACTGAAGTGTTCTAGAGTGGTAGCAACGTATGGTAAGCGAAGTTTAGGACGACACCTCCAATATACGGAGTGATCACCTGTTAAGGTATGCAAGAAGTCGATAGCCTACTGACTACAGTCTACTGAAAGGACCTGTGTCCTACGTGAACAGGCTGCAGACGATTGCGAAGATAGAGAAAGTACTAATACAAGGCTGTGGAACCAAATCCAAAATGGGAAGGGCAAGGAAAAATGTCAACAAGCACCATTACTGTAACTTTCCTGTTTCCCATCCCATCTCTGATGTAGTCAGTGATTTTCAGTAAAACAGCAGCAGTACTGTGACCTGGACAAAACTTGAACTTTTCTTTTTTTGTATACCTATTTCCAATATTTAAATTAGGGTATCCTAATTACTATAACATATCAGATCAGATGATATGATTATTAGTGGAGATTATGGGAAATGTAACATTTGAATATTTCAATCTTATTTTAAGCCAACCAAATGTACTTATCAATATTAATAAAACACCTTCCAAAAATTTCAAAGCTAACAGAGCTGATAGATATTGATAGTAATGAAGAGATAGTATGTTAGTCGCTTTAAATTCCAGTCTCACAGTAACTTGAATCATGAAATAATAATCATATTTAAAACTGTAACTTGCTAAGTACAATAGTATAATATAATAACACACATTTTTTCATTAGTTCTTCTTTATTAACATTATAATTCTAATTTTGAAAATTACATCACATACTGTCTTTTAAAATAATGGTAAAAACAATGTGTATATTGGCAAGAAATAAAACATGTTAAAACTGGTCAGGTGGGACTTAAATTATAATAATTTCCACGTAGAAGCTTTGACTTAACTGTGATAACATTTATTTTATGCATGCATTCTTGCTATATAAGCTCATCTACTTTTTGCTATGTGTTATGATTATGAAGAAATGTTGTATTATATACTAAACTCTAGGTACAACTTCTTATAAGCTTAAAACACAATTGCCACAAATACTTAACACACAGTAAAACAATTTATGTTTTTTACAAGATTTTTTAATTAAAAACGGCTACCAAATAGAAAATTGAAAAGTCCTGACACAAAGCCTAATTTCCATAGAAAAGCCCTGACATTTTGTAACTTGGATATTTTTGACTATATTCTTTTGTTAACAGTAAAATGCAATTATGCAAATTAAAAACAATTTTAGGCTTTGTGCACTCTCAATCAATCTGCGCCACATGTCTTTTACCAAACCAAAGAAGGTGAAATAGAATATTTTTATAATATGGATTTGATTGTCATCTAATAAATGCCATGTCAGTACACTTGAAGTAAATTTAAATTCATAATACAAAAATGATTGTGTTTTTGCTGATTGTTCATATTATGATTATAACTTCAAAATAAAATGACATTTAAAATTTACTGTATTTTATTCAAAAATCTAAAAATCCTGACAATACCAAAATTTGGCCACACTCCTGACATCTCAGGACTAATCTTCACATATGCTAATCCTTGTAATTAGTATGAGGGTATGCTAAATATATTTTGGTACTCAATTACTATAATAACGACATGACAAGATTGGGAAATAATTATATTATGTACTTCATTCTATTTAACAAGTCAGGAACTATATTGTCTGTAGCCAAATTGATTAGTTAGGCCATAGAATTCACAAAACATGCAGGCTATTTCTAATGCTTTTTTCTTAATCTACTGTATGCTTCAAAATTTTTGACAGTTATGTAAAATAATATGAACCAAAAAAACCTGACATAAAGTCTAAAAATAAAACAATTCAAATAAAATATAGTAATACTAATTCCATAAAGGACAACCCTTGCATGAGCATTAAAATTACTAGTGAATAAATACGACACTATTATATGACTCATAACAAAAATTGAAAATCACCTAATTATTTGAAATAATTTATATTTTAACTAAATAAATATGTACCTGTATAACAGAAATTAAAATTTTAATTTATCTAAATAATGCATGTTTGTTGCATGTTTAAATTCTATAGTGATTGATTCTAACACTGTTTATACAAACTACTTCATAAGACAGTTTATAGTGTAATTTACATTCCAAAATATAGAAAATTTGCTACTCCACAAACAAGACACAGTGGCTGGAATATGAACTACCTAAACCAAACAACATTGGCATTTCAATAGTGAGCATGCCTTGTGTAGACCTGCAGATTCTTCCTTTAGGTGCATGATGTGACCAACTATGCTTCACTTCACAAGGCCAAATTGGCCTTTCACTTATTTCAAACAGTGTTAGAATATCAAAATGTCATAAGTCAGGAAAACGTAAAGGATCTTCTATATAATCTTCAGGTATTATAAACAAATCTGGAGGTATATTTTCACGAAAATCAAATTTTTGAAAGGTTATTTTTGCTGTAACTGTTGGCAAAATGGGTATGTCTATTTTGACTGGAAATCCCTTAGGTAACTTCATAGCTACAAATTGCCGCAATTTAGCAAAGTGCTTAAATGGTGCTATCACTTCCAAAACATTAAGTAACATATCCACACTTAAAGGGAATTCATCACTCATGGCAATAGTAGCCCGGAAATTTCTAGATGACTCCTTGTAAACAAGCTCCCGACCCAAGCTTGGATACTGTCCAGGAGGAGATGATATGTATGTTTGCTAGTCTACTCCACTTTCAGGTGGAGGGTTCAATGATGCACGGCGAGCTGGCTCTCCATTTGTGTCCAAGTTCTGTGTATTACCTTTTGTTAAACTTTCTATAATTGCTTTATTTTTCTGCAAATCATCTGTAGATAAATGTTCTCTTCTTTTACGAGATTCTAATACTAACCCAGTTATAGTGTAAATATCACTTTTATATAGGCCAGCAACAGTTTCTTTACGATCTTCACGGAATATCCAACCTGACTGTGCCCTTGAAAATAAAATACCTTTAGTAGACATCTGTGCAGCAAGAATATCACTTGACATCAAAATGTCTACTTCATCCTCAATTTCATTTTCAGTTTCTTCATAACGCACTCTCTGATATACTTTAGCTTTATTGTCTAAAACAGTTAACGCCTCACTTTGTGGCTTTTCCCCTTGAAAAATAAAAGAAATATCACCTCTTTCCCATTTCATATCTGTAAAGTCAACTAAAGTTGTGTCTAATCTGATTCCAGAGCCAGCTTTATAAATTTTACATACATCAGATGGTAATATCCTGGAAACTAAAGGTACCCATGAATGAAAATCCCATTTTAGTTCCATATAAAAATCTTTTATTTTAGCTAGGGCTTTAATAAGGTCAGGTCTTCTGCGATCCATTTGCTCTCTAGCTTGCTGTTTAAGTTTTCGAACAAGTGATGAAATAGTCTGCCGATCGCCATAACTAATTGCCTCTGCTAGAGGCGACCATCCAGCTAGGTTCTTCACTTTCACCGGTGCACCATGTGCAAGGAGGAGTTGTACACATTCTTTTCGACCCAACATAACGGCCAAGTGCAGTGCAGTGTTACCATGTTTATCTTTTTGAGTAATATCATGGTATCTGAGTAGTGATGATAATTTACGAACGTCGCCCACAAAAACACATCCATGTAGAGGAAAGGAGTCGTCTTCTTTATTACAAACAGAGCTAGACATTGCGTACGTGTAGGTCTTATTTAATCATCACTTATATTAGTTATTAATTACGCAGGATATCTAAATAGACCGGATTTGAAATTTGATCAAAGTGATAAGATTAGTTTTAGTGAAATTAACAATATTGTACCCATATCTTTGGCTGATTTCTAATGAAATTTAAGTTCCATTTCAAATATTTCATGTCACTGGGTGGTCTGAAAATCTTACAAAATATGTTTAATACCCTCGTACTAGAACAGAATCTGCATTTTAATTAAAAATAATTTGGTCTAAATAATTCACTATTTTACATCGAACTGTTGCAGCAATTGACAAATCAGAATCGGTGTCACTGATGTCAAATTGACATGAGTGTAGGCATGTCGATTCACTCTTAAAAAAAATCGATCTCTGAATCGATTTGAATCGAAGGTACTTGAATCGATTATCGATTAAATCGAGGATTAAAAGATCGATTTTCGATTAATCGCGACATTTTCAAACATGAAATTTGAAGAATTTTCGATTTTTTTTTCTTTAACTTCTAAACTGTTTTTTAATTTTTTTAAATATAATATTAGTAATCTTATTGATTAATATTACTAATATTCCTTTTAATCACTCTTGGTAAGCTTGAAACGCTTGTGTTAGGAGTGGTTCGCACATACTCCACTCGCTCCCTTTTTTTAAAAAGTGATTCCACGTAACACTTTTATTTGACATTTTAGGCTAAAAACAACAACAATACTTTAACAGAAGTGCAAACTGCAACGTACATTGCTCGATAAATCTGTTTCAATCTAATAACTCACTATTTATCATATCGAAATGAATGCTACACGAACACAATACTGGTTATTTAAACCTCTATAAACTTCAACGTACGGTATAATATTTATTTACAGTATCTAGGTATTTAAAAATTACTCTGTCTGTACTTACAGCTCACAGTATGTATATTTTTGATAATAAATAATGTACATTCACAAGTTCACAGTTCAAACAGGTTCACAGCTATAATATTATATTATATTATAGTACAGGAAAAAGAATATCGCTCGGTCAATCGAAAAAATATTATAGTTGGGATGTAATATATATTATCATCTCATCTCAGTGGAAACGGTTCCATTTAAAAGTACGGTGAGCGCTATTAATTTATATCTCGAGATGTAATATAAATTACATTATATCCCTTAGTGGAAAGTGGGCTTAAGAATTTTAGAAATGACAATAAAATGACAACTTTTCGATATGTTGGATGCGTTCATAAACATTTATTTTATTCAAATATATATTGCGTTCAAATTATCAACCAAGTACGACCGGTTGTTTTTCCGTCCCCCAACAGCAAGAAATTAAAAAACTGTGGTATCTTACCCCAACCAGTTCGGAAATTTTAGCTAGTTCTTGTATCAAATGAATCAGTCCGATTCAAGAGGTTTTTGGATCGATTCAGTGAATCGATGCGGTGCTTTGAATCGATCTAAAAAATCGATATTTTTACTCCAAAGAATCGATTTTTCGATTAATCGATTTTAAATCGACATGCCTACATGAGTGACACCGTTACTGAACAAGTTTACTGAGAATGAGGCCCTAAACGTAAATCGATATTATTATTTATTGTAACGTACATATTGTAACATTTTTGTTTGTAACGTTATGTTATAAGAATGTATAATGTATTAAGATTTTTTTTTACTAGTATTTAGTAAAAAAAAATTCTTACCGACTACATAACGATCTCGTTTTTTTTTCTTTAGTTATAGGCTCGTGCGGATATACTTTTGCCAGTGTGATGTAATAAGAAACCTATAAAATACTTTGTTTCAAAAACTTCTATACAACATGCCTCTATACTCCATGAATATGCCGATGCCGATACGTCACTTTAAGAAATTTTGGGGATTTTGATTAGACATGGGACGAGTACTCGGTTTGGATTCGATACTCGGCGGATTTGGCCTTTTTTAGGGTTCGGCCGAACACCGAGTATTAACGGCCGAGTACCGGTACTAGGCCTTAATTGTATTCCAGAGCAAAATAAAGACAAAAAAATATTAGACACATTAAAACATCAGAAACATGGGAAATATTGAGAAAGTACATAATAATCTATAATAAAAATTATTATTACTAATATTTAAAATTTAAGAGAGTAAGATTGTGATGTTAAGACAGTTTTTCCGACCTAATTGGATCTATTTTGCTTCATATACTAAGCCTGTCTTTGAAAAAACTCGTTCGCTGTAAACTGAACTGGCGAGTGTTGACAATTATTGAGACGCAACTTTTCCCAACATTGGGTGGCCTTTATTGGAAACCCACCATTTATATGGATTTGCATCTCTTGCGGTCGTTGGTACGCTTAAGTAATGATCTAACTCTACTGCATAGGAATTCTTTGGATAATTAGGTTGGTAACTGGTTAATGCGTCAGCAGCTTTTTTCTCCTTCAGAAGCATGTTTTGAATGAATTTTTTTATGTGATTCCTAAGATCGATAATTTTTCTGGATGTTTTCTGATAAAACGATTTCTATAAGTAGTCATTCAAGTAATCATCATATCGCGCCAGATAACGAAATCAATCTCACGAACATGAGTTATTTGACAAGTAATCAGTAATGACTTATCTAGTGTCTATTGGTGTGTGACTGATCTAGTACTGATACTTATGATATTTCTTTCGATACTACTTGGTACTCAGTTTTAAAGTATTGATACCAAAAGTAGTAGGTATCGAAAGTAAAGTATCGAGTAAGTACTTGTATTTACTCGTATCGTTTCATCCCTAACTATGTGTAAGGGAAATAACCGCGCGCCGCTTACCACCGCGTTTGTTTTAAAGCCTAGGCCTAAATCTAGGCCGAAAAGTCGAAAAGAAAAGTTGCCATCATCTAAATAGCCGATGCCGGAAAAATTTAAATATCTCTGAAACTTGAGTGACATTGAGATTTTTCCATTAACTTTTGACCTTTCCCGGTCTCGAAACTAAATAACTTGCTTGCTGTTTTATTAAAAGCAGGTACAAAGACAAAATTTCAATCTTAGATCCGATTTATATATAGCTAAATCGATTTATATCTAGATAGTTAAATAAATTTCAAATTATTGTATATTATATAACGTTATTGCGATGAACGTTATTGATTAAAAACGTAATAGAATAAAAATATCTCGATAGAGAAAATCACAAAGGTACCTCATATTTTCATCGAGAACCGATTTTTTATGGTCCTGATCGAAAATTATTAAATTTTCTAATTCCGAGCAAAGTTCGGTCATCTCGATACTATAATATTATACAGGGGTAGACGGAACCATCAAAGGGTACGTATGTCCACACAAAATATAAATGTTCAAGAACATAAGGATAACGAACACACTGAAGAAAGAAATATCGAGTATTTCCGTATACTATACGAAGCTAATTCAATAGTAATAAAATAAATACGATTAATTATTCATGTTCATGGTTAATGGATACGGGTTCAACAATATTAGCAGTAAAATACAGCTACCTTAAAGAACAAAATCTGCCAATGACAAGGAACAGAATAGAAATAAAAGGGATTGGTAGAAAATTAGTAACAGTTGGATATCCAAATTAAGGTGGCACAAGTCGCGGGCTCGAACTCATTGGTGGGCGCGGCCAAAAAGCACGTTGTCTCACCTGGCATCGTGCCCGACAGAGATAGTATAAGTGAAGAGCAGTTAGAACGCACGTCTTGTTCGTACGGCGTTCCGAACCTTTAGAACAAAAACGAAGTTACAGGAACACGATGCACACATACATACCACCCTATTCTGTGCCGCTCGACGCTTGCTGAGAAATCAGCAGTACCTACCTACAAACTCGTACTAAATTATTAGGTGCTGCGTTATCGCTTTATACTATACCTCTATGGCTCGATAGATACCTAATATAGATTGCTTATTTTATTATGTTATGTTTTCCCCGGGTGATCATGCAGCGATCACTCAAGAGTTCACGACGCTGAAGTATGAACTGGAACAGTCATCGCAGTTTATATCCATACTAGCTGTTGCCAGCGGCTTCAAACGCGTGAACTCGAAAATTATCCCATAGGAACGAAATAGCTGAATAAACGGTATCAAATGTGTTATTCCAGACCAGGTATAACCTATCTCTGAGCTAAATATCATCCAGATCCCTTCAGCTGTGATTGAGTAACATACATCTATCCATCCAAACTTTCGCATTTATAATATTTAGATAATAATTGTAATTAGTTCTGCCTACCTATAAATTGTCTTCAAAAATACTTACCTGTCTTCTTACTTTGTTTTATATACACACAATATCACTAGATGTAAACACATGTTTTTATCAAGACAAGTGACCCGTCAAGACTGTTTCCTTAGTACCGACGTACTTAGGCAGGTAGGTAGGCAGTTTAGATTTTAGTGTCCACGACGCAGCGACAGTTTGCCAAATTTTGTTGTATAGGTTGTGGGTATCTAGGTAATAACAGTAGGTAGACTACCTATCCACCGTCCACGCCGCGCAAGTGATTCTCGTCCCACCTGTCCGCGCAGTAACTTTTTTCTACGACCGCGCGAGACTGTCGCAACAAAAACGATTACTACCGAAAAACTAAATAGGTACCTACCTAATATTTAAATAAAAATATTCTCAAAAAGCTCAACGAATTCAGAATTTAATTTTGTTAAAAGAAAATTGGTCAAATAAAAAATAAAGGATGAAAATAAAGCATGTGGGAATATAAAAATAAATCGTATTTATTTGTTACTTATTTCGAGTTTTACAAGAAAAGTATAATATTTATTGGAGACAATTATTTTATTATTATAATAGTACATGATATTCCCTTTAAAATGACACCAATATGAATAATATCTTATATCTATATCTACAAATAAATAAAATTGAAGTGTCTGTTTGTAATGTTAAAATAACAGCTTTTTATTAAATGCATATGAAAGTACTATTTTTGTCTGTCTGTCGGTCTGTCTGTCTGTCTGTTTGTTC